AGAATAGAGAATGCTTTTATATTTGTAGAGTATCAACGGGCAAGCAACCAACATCATACTTGGTGATCTTGAACTTTTTCGCAACTATTCTTTCTCGGTACGCAAAACAAAATGAATCTTTGAAAACTCGTGATTTTCAAATTCTAGAGTTTTTGATAGAATTATGAATTACGCAAATTTTCGGAATCTCACAGCTTTCAAAATACCTTGAAAATTGTTAGCTGGAAAATGTAAGGAAGGTACTGGACATTTACTTGTTATCTGTCCTCTAGAGGTATGAAACAAGGATTCAAATTGGCTGAAGTCGTAAAATTCTTCTTGGAAACATTGCATACTATGTATTCTTGCGACATGTCAAACCAATGACATGTCAGCTTTAGTCGACCAAGGATTAGGCACAGCTTGTGTGATGACATCGCTTGCTGAAGGTTGTGCAATAACACTACAGCTTCTCCATCATTCATCAAAAACATGATTCAAAAAGGGTTCGAGCAGAATGGTTTCTCCGAAGTTGCTCGCAGCAGTCTTGCTTGGGTTTTGAAATCAATTGACTGGGAGAAGGAAGTTTTGGCAAAGTATTACATGCCTTTTATCTGTACAAAGTTGAAGAAAAAACGAACAAAATAGGGAGACTGCAAATAAGTTAGACGAGATGAAAATGCCCTTTTGCGAATTGGAATAGCAAGCACCAAGCGTTCTTACGTGTGTCATCAGCACGTGGTAAATGTGGAAAGTGATGGAGAACTGAACAGACAAAGGCAGTTGGGCTGCTTTTGGGTTTTTGAAGAAAGCCGACCAATTGACCGAGTAGCTATTAACCCATCTGTTATAAACTACACTGCTAAGGCTGCGTACTAATATCGGGACTGCAGCCACGTCAAAAACTTTGCAGACCACCCAAAAAACACTTAAAGGCAGCGTTCGAAAATTCTGGACTCTTTTTCTTGCCTTAATCTAGGCCTTTTCATGCCGCTGACTGCAAATGTGGCACTTGAAAAGCGTGATACAGAAGACCTTTTATTGGGCCTATCATGTGAGGACCGTGGTCCAAGCGTTACCCTTGTTGAAAGCAAACATTAACGGGTAAACATTGAGTTTCGATTGTGTTTGCCATATGAAAACGCTCGAAGGCAGAGGAGATTTCGTTAGGGAGGGGGTTGGCCGTGCGGGGGATTAGGCGTGGTCCTCAAAAAATCGTTGATTCGTGCGCCGAAAATCTTCCTTTCAGAAAGGGAGGTTGGGATTCGCAATAGTTCTAGATCGACGCCCCGATAGTCGATTATGATAGTAATCGAGAACGCTTGAATCCGGCTGCACGCTGCCTTTGAGCGCAATCTTATAAACCCTGACGGACATGGAAAAAATTAGGCCTTTGTCACCCAACAATTACATTGCTCATGAGGAACACCGACAGCTAGTTTCAAAAACAGGGTCCAATCTATGAGCTGGACTTTACAACTTATCTTTGCTAACATCTGTAACACTAGAGCCATATGAGTCTATTTGAACGTTAACGGTTTTTAAAATATAAAAATGGTTTGCATAGCGTATTCAATTGTTTTCAAAGCAAGAAGTGCAGGCTCAAGTTTGGGCCAAATGAAGTAAACCTTCGAAGTCCTCGGAGTCTTTAGGTGATAAACAAGCACGCCCTGCGTTAAAGACACCGTCCACCCAGAATATGGTTGATAAGATTTTGATACCTCGCAATAGTATGGCCCCCAGCTATGTGCTTACCCAACTCGCGCTGCCAGAAGTTGCTTCTCAAGCGAGAAAAATGTTTTAGAAATTGGTTTAGATGAGTATTCGTCAAGTTGACTCTTCTCCTTGAGTGGGCGTGACGTTCGTCCCACCCCGTTTGAGTGCACCTAACCAATCACCGTTCCGCACAACTCGCCCTGCGGGTTTGTCGGGGTTTGCGCGGATTCTCGACTCGCGGAATCATAGGCATGAGAATGCCCTGGAAGGACAAAAATGGAACCGAGAATGTGGGTAGACGGTGTCTTTAGTTCATGAAGCACCTGTTATCTTATATATAAAGCTGAATGCCTGTTTGCCTGTATGTCAGTACGTATGTGCGGGATAGAAAATTTTATTTCTGAACCGATTTGGACCAAACTTGCCATACTACTTCGGGGCAGGGAGCGTGTCATAGGCAACTTTTATCGATCGATATCGATTTTGTCGATTTTTATCGATTTTTTGCAGAGTTCACCTACGGAGTTGGGAGTTGGCACAGGGGGGGGGGTAGGTGAGCACGCTGATTCCGAATACAATATTAGTTTACAGACTTATCCATTAGTTTTATTGATTTTATCGATTTTGCAAAGTTTGAGCTATGGGGCTAGGATTTGGCACAGAGAGGGGGAGTAAGTGGGCATGCTGATTTGGAAAACAACACAGGGAAAGGGAAATGAAGTGTAGAATTGGACACAGGGAAAAGTCGTAAAGATATGGATGGGACCTTTGTTACAGTGTTTTGACAGGGTCGAGCGAAGCCGGGTAAGCAAGCTAGTGTTCTTATATCGGCATAATGTCTTGTAACTTCTTCTAAAAATCTTTCCACGGATAAAAACCACAGTTTTAGGATGAGAATTTACTGTGAATGCGTTTTACATACCATCGCAAAATTCACTTTCATTTAAAGCATTTCTTTGCAGGGCTTGGCATAGTTGACTTATGAACCAAGCTGGTTATCGTTTCTGGGTAAAAAGCAAGGTCGACATCATTTACGAAAATACCACCCCATCCTCCTCCACCACAAACATTTTCTCCCTCTCATGTCACCCTTTATCTTCTCAAAGGACGCAATGTCATCCCTGCCTTTGTTCTCATTCCCCAAAAATCGAAAAATTCCTGGTTCGACAGGTTCGCCGGTTAAGCGCGCGAATTCAAAAAAAACCGCCCTGAAATAAACAAAAGCTTTGCTTACAGCGAAGAGGAAATGAAATGACATTAAACGTGGTGCATAGATGGGCAATCAGGAGATAGGGCTATGTTTGGAAATCATGGAAAAGTTATGTGAACTGAAGGCGTGGCTAACTTTTTTGCGGAATTAGGTGGTTTTTCAGCCACCTGAACAGCCACTGAGGTGGCTGTAGTATTATAAATTTCCTTTCCTTTACATAATCTTTTAACAAGTTAAACAAGCCTTGTTCTACATCAACAACCCTACAAATGTTTTTTGAATCTTCCCTCCCTCCTCGCCTAGTTGCAGTCCCAGAGATATTTTGTATGCCGGCGGCAAGCCTGCCCCAAGCGCGCAATGGTGCGCGCCGAACTTAACATGCAGCCAATTTGGAGAACACGAAGTCTTCAATTTTTTTTCGTCTGTTCAATGTTGTTTTATGTTTTGTTTCATTATTTTTTATTCGTGCTTAACCCATTCAAGATCGCGTCATAGGTGATGTCGTATTTTTGTGGCGAAATATATAGGGACTTCGTTTTTGAAAAAATGGAAGAGCCACCCATGTCCTCTAGCCCTGTTTCTTTGTTAGCTCACTTACTCAGATAATCGCCGGGGGCAAGCGGCCATGCGAATTTTGAGCAAGCGGGCACCGGAAAAATAGTTCGCTGATTTTTTGTGGTCCGCTTGCAGAAATTTGGAATAATTTTGGCCAATTTTTAGACGAACGCTCGAAGATCTATCGCGGTTTCTCTATACATAAGTTGCGGCACAGTGGCCGCATTCTCGCGGATTTTCCGCGAGAACATGCAAAATTATTGAGAGCCGCACGGTCCTTTTTGAAGGACCGCACAGCCCTTAGGTGCTTTTCCCTGAAAGAAAGTACCCCAAACTTGGGTAATAAAACCATCGATGGCACCTCTGCCACATAGAGTCTCATCTTTTCTCGGCGTACGCCCGAAACTGCGTAAAAAGAGTCTGAGCGCCTGCTGAAAGTTGGGCCAGCGCTCGCTGAAAGAGATTGTTTGACGAGCGCTTGCAGAAAATTTTGTATTGATGCCCGCTTGCAGAAAACGCAAATACCGCCCGCTGAAGATTTGGCCACGCCCCGAAATCCTGCTGACCGCCTGCAGAAAAGCGCGAGTTTGCGGACCGCCTGCCCCCGGCGATTATCTGAGTAGGTGAAGAGCAGTGGTGTACCGAGGTACTGTCTCCCCATCCCCCGAGAACGGGTCGCGAAATTTTTGAAAGTTACTTACACGCACAGGTGCGAAAGGTGAGAATGACTCCTCTAGGGTGAAGGGAGTCACAGCGGTCGCAGCCCCACCAGGGTGAAAGGTGTTTCACTTGGTAGAGAAATTATAAAATCTCGACGGGGGTGGGGGGAGCCATGGTGTTTTCTCATCATTTTTCCTAGTTAAAGTTCATAATTTATTCCTTACCATCACTGGTTATCTTTTTTCTGAAATGTGAACCGATGTGCTCTTGGATTAGCATAATTTTATTTCTGACCAGCACCTTGTATTTTTTGAACATTTCATTTTCCTTTTTTACATCACGCTGTTCGTTTTTGGAGTTACCATAGAAGATGTGCATGCGAGAACATTTGTTGGTAAGTTACACGGGTTATAGACAGAGGCAGACAAGTGCAGCTTATGTAAGCAATCGATCTCAAGTGGCAAAATTCTGAAACAGCTTTTGAGTTGTTCGATTTTTGGTACTATTTACACTTATATGATAAGTATTATTTTCCATAACCTTCCTCATTCATAGTTGGAGAATATGAGTGTTTGTTTCTGAAAAAACCAAGTGCTCACCGTTGACCTACTACAGATTGATTCCTCCGTGGAAGAGCAGTATGTGATATGAACATATGTGATATGAATATATGAACATATGTTCAGAGATGAATGTCTTACCTTCGCTAAAGATCCCTTTTCTGAGCCTAATTGGTATTACAATTCTCATTCAATTTAATTGGCGTTGTGCTGATAAGAGGGCTGAGTCGCCAAGGAAATACGTGGGGTTTCAGATGAATCGCGGTCGCTTTGGAAATCAGGTGACTTGATGAAAGTTAAAATTGTATCAATAATCCTTTTTACTTCAGCTTTTTCACTTCGTCTCTGGTTATGGAATTGCAAGGACCCTAAATAGAACTCATTATTTGTCGTTACAAGATGATGCCATAGCTCACGTAGTCAAATTTCTGCGCCTGTACAAAGACGTGTTTCCACGTTTGCAGGACACATTTATTGTGGCACCAGTAAGTGTAGCCTTTTTCTAAAGAACTGCTGACAAGTATCAGAGGGTTAATGTTTTAAAATAAACCACAAAATTTTTGGCTTCGAGCGGGAAATTGAAATTTTTCTAATCCAGCAAAGTACAACAAAAAAATTAAGTGTTTTTCCAGCTTTCATGAAGCCTGATCCAATTCTTAAAATTGCAATCTGAGCCTGATGATTCCCGCACCCGTAGAAGAGTTGATGATGTAGTGTTAAAAAAAGTTGTTTTTAATGCTTTGGTTGTTACTTCATACTTCACCAACAGTCGTTGCTAGGAGAGGTAAGCGTCCTAAAAGTTTGTAAAGGTCAATTAGCAGCGAATAACTCAGACAACCGACGGGATAGTTCCGGTAGGCAAAATGGGGAACGGTCGGGGTCTTCCCAGCGGTGGCTGCAAGCTTGTTCACCGGATCATCCCCCATACTTGTGCCCGAAAGTTCACCGAGAGCTTATTTCGCCCCGGAAACCCTGCATTTTCACGCAAGGTTTACTGTAACTAGCCCTTAATTGAGCTAGGCATACTGTAACTACCTCCAATTAAGCTACAAATATTTTAGTCTTTAACCCCACCCAAACTACCTTTAGACACCTAATCCCCACTCTAAACTACTTTCTATCGAAAAAAGCGACCACTTTTGGACATAATACCATTTATTTGTATTATAAAGTTCTGCTAATGAATGAAAATGAGCTGGGGAGAACAGTCCGAGTGGGTCGTATAAGCTGGAACTGGACCACTGTACAGTTTTAAAACCTTTCTTTTTGTCCGATGTACCGTGCTCGAAGGTCTCTCCGGGGATGTCACAATGAAATTGTCGGTGACGAGATCCCATTTTAAGCCAAGAATTTTCTTAACCTAAGAAATTGCTTCTTTTTCTCTCTTTCTGAAATACTCATTTAGCTTTTCTGCATTGCTAGCAAAGGTTCGGAGGTTCATTCCTGCATTTTTGAAAAGTTCCGTGGTTTTTTTATAGAAACTGATTCCTTCGTCCATGTTTTTGGCGCCGTTAAAAACATTATTGACGTATGTGTTCCTAATGATGTGTCATGGGAGATCGGTCGTCAATGAGGAAAGATGGTAATGGATTGTTCCTGCCAGTAAAAATGGAGAGCACACTACATAAGGAAAGCCTTTTGGTTGTCGTTGGAAATTTCAACAAGATTTCCAACGAGATCAGGTAGGAGAACTAGACCTCTGTACAGAGCATCGTTAAAACTGATCTTACCTTTCATCTTCGCTGAACCTTTATAAACACATCTGATTTTCAGATCCTTATCATCCCTTTTCAAAACACCATTGTGGGAGAGATTATGACAGGGTCTAGGAAGCTCTTCACGTATAGTCTCAATAATGTTCCTTTGTAACTGATCTTGAATGAAGGCATGATATTTTGCTAAGTACGAGGGGTTTTGTTGCATCGTTTTGAGTTGATGGCACAAACGCGAGTAAGCCAGTGAGTAGCTGTCTGGTATTTGTTCCGGGTTTGTTTTGAATGGCAACGAGACAACGTACCTCTTTTCATCCGAGTCATAGTATATGGTATTGTTAAAGCACTTGAGACATTTTTCATCATCACTTTGGTTGGGGTTGTCCAGGATACCAATTGATTCTAGTTTCCAGAAACGACTTACCAGTTTACAAAGTTCGCTATGATTCGCAGGACTTGCGACATTCGCTGCCACTATCAACGGAGATAAAGCTGCAATCTTTCATTCTTGTGTTAATGGCCTTTTTACAACAATATCACCAATACTGGTATGAAGGAAACGATATCCTTCCGGAAGACTCTTGTAATAAAAGTTGTGGAATAATACGAGGTCCCAGAAATAATCGTTTCCAATCAGTAATGATGGATTACATGTTGTCACGGATGGTTGATGGCCGGATGTTACTTGTATGATCTCACTCGGTAGGGTATCTGCCACCATTTTCGTCTGAATTCCCAACCGAAAGTTCGAGGATTCCACCTCTACTGGTTTGCCAAATGTTGCGACGTTGAGTGTCTCTGTTCTGAAAAGCGGTAGGTCCAATGATGCGGCGAGATCATTGGTAATATGAGTGGTGGTGGAGCCGCTATCAAGAAAGGCTATCGTAGTAAGAGAACGCGGATGATCATCAGGATTGAAAATCTTGACTTCTGTGCACATCAAAGGGGCCGAAAAACTTCCTTGAGATGATGTAAGAGTGATGTCGTGTGAGTTATCTACGGCTTGGATTGGTTCAGTATTGAGTGGTTCGATATTCGTAGTCTCTTCATTAATATGAGAAGTTTGGTGTTGTCGAAATGAACGGCATGATGATGAGGTCTTGGTGGTGTGGGATGACGAGGGTGTGAAGGACTTCGATGCGAGGCTTTAGGTGAAATCTTTGCAAAAGTTTTCTTTTCTAAAAAGTTTTGAGCACAGTCGGCAATGAAACTTCGAAGGGCATTCTTTCGTGTTATGGCGAGATGAGAGACACTTGTAGCAAAGCCGTCATTTCGCTTGTTCGAAGCGTTGCTTCACTGTGACATAGATCGTACAACTCGTGGCTGAATGGGATTTGGAGTCACAGTGAGGACAACTTATAGGAGATTTGAAGGATTTAAGTGAATGTGATTTTGGTCGTTACGTGGTAGTATAATTCCTAGCAGAGCAGTGCGTGGTGCGGTAGTGAATGTCGATCTTGAATAGTGTTCCATTCCTGAACGAGTTGACTCTTTGCGGACAATATTGGTGAGTAAGTGAAGTAATTCTGACGGAGAGACATTGTGGTCATGCTGAGTCCGGTCACACATTTGACTTTTAGCGTGAGGAGGAAGTTTGTTAGAAGAATGGCGCCGAGGGCCTTTTCTTTAGAATAGTCATTGCCACTGAAAAATTGTTTCACTAGTGCAAACATCTGATTGTAAAGCAGGAGAAGGTTGCAGCCGTCCGGGTCGCAGGCAGGTAACGATGCAAGCTTCATATACAAAATGTGTTTCAGCGTGACCGTGTCATCGAAGTGGGTGCGTAGAATATCCATGGCTACTTTGTAATTTCCAAGTGTCATTGACAGTCCTTGAATGACATGTAAAGCCTTTCTTCGTAAGCAAGATTTGAGAAGAGAGAACTTTGTTGTATCATCTAGTTGCACTTTGGCCTACCAATGTCGCAAATCTTGAAGAGAATTCAGGATACTCAAGCAGATTTCCGTCAAATGTGGATTGCTCGAGTTTACTGAGAATAGAAGCATCAACAAAGTTCATAAGCGAAACATCGGTAGTATAGAAGAGATTAGGAATTTGTGGATTTATCTGAGGTAATGGCCTGTTTTCTCTCCAGTTTGTTTCTTAACAGTATTAGGTTCAGAAGAAACAGAGGAAAATATCATATGTCGGTTTGCGTATTCTTGATCAATGGCATTCAAAAAACTGTTTAGATCTTCTAGGTTTTTTACGGCTTCGGCAACTACCATGTGGTAGTCACCATACTTTTCAAGATATTCATCAAAAACCTGCTGTTCATCGGGATTCGACTTCTGTAGGACTGACCATTCTTCATCGAGTTTACTGATCTTAGTATAAGAATTGAGCATACTGGATCAAATGTTGATGATTTCTAGCCGAAACGTCTCGATTGTATCATCATCTAAGGCTTCGAACTGTGGATTAGCAAAGGAAATGTTGTAATCTTTCATCGACTGTGCTGCCTCGGAGCAAAAGCGTTGGACTTGTTTTTTGAAAAATCTGATTTGGCGTTGAAGGTGAATGCTGCTATCAGACACGGTGAATCAGGAGAAGATACTTTGATTCACGCTGTGGTGTAGCAGTTGTTCCTTGTTTTAAGAAGTCAATAATATCTTTAATAGATGCAGGAGTTTTGTATTTTGCACGTCGCAGTGATCGTGGAGAATTTCCTGTAGTGAGGAGTAGTACTTTCGGTCGTAATCTGATGGTGCGAAGGTGCAACCGCACAAATGAAGATGTGTGAATGGCTGTTCGACTATTTTGACTGTTCTTGCTGGGTCGCCACAAATGTTTGAAACCTAGCTCTTTTCGTAGTAGGTTCGCAAGGTTCGTATTGTAAAGACCGAGAAAACGTAGACGTTTATTGATTGTGCGGTGAAGGGAAATAACGAATAGCTAAGAAGCATAAATTAGCCTGCTTTTATATAGAAGCAGCAGCAAGAAGAGAGTGAGCCCAATGTGTATTTGCATATTCTGCGCCAACCATTAGACGCATTAGCGCATTCAACCGTACATCTATAAATTCTCAATTCACATAAGGACAGATAATGCGAGTAGACAAATGGCTGACAGCATGATAGCAGATTATCAAAACATCGAGCGCAATCATTATGAATCTCGCTAAGTGTACAATCATCTCAGGTCTATGAAGAATTACTAATTAAGCTTACGAATTGGAACTGCTATTTTGTAGAATTACAAAAACCGGGTAAGCCAGCTAGACGGCTATAATAAAACTGACTAATTCATGAATCTAATGGATTCCTGTTTATGTGTTCTAGCCCGGCTTGCTCCAATCATCATAATTTTACGATCTTTGCATAGTGCAAGGGTTTCACGTTTTGCTGATTACATACTCAGCACTTGTTACACTTTTTTCTGCATGTTATCGAAAAAGTGTAACCAAAAATTTGACACTCTCCTTTCATTTCTTTCTCTAACTAATTGTTGCACATCATCCGATTCAATAGACCTAAGAGGTTTTCTGTGATTTCAGGACTATAGCCAAAAGCTTACTCAGCATCTCATCTTTAAATCTGTCAGTAATGGTATTGCTGCCGCTTTTACTAGGCTAACCCGATCTCATCTTCCCGACAAAACACTTACTCAGTGTCCTGTCTTCAGCTCAAGTGAAACGTGTGTGTATGTGTGTGTGTGTGGTGTGGTGTGTGTGTGGTGTGTGTGTTGTGTGTGTGGTGTGTGTGGTATGTGTGTGTGGTGTGCGTGTGTGTCTGTGTGTGTCTGTGTGTGTGTGGTGTGTGTGGTATGCGTGTGTGGTGTGTGTGGTGTGTGTGTGGTGTGTGTGGTGTGTGTGGTGTGTGTGTGATGTGTGTGTGGTGTGTGTGGTGTGTGTGTGGTGTGTGTGTGGTGTGTGTGTGTGATGCGTGTGTGGTGTGTGTGTCTGTGTGTGTGTCTGTGTGTGTGGTATGTGTGTGTGGTGTGTGTGTGGTGTGTGTGGTGTTTGTGTGGTGTGTGTGTGATGTGTGTGTGGTGTGTGTATGGTGTGTGTGTGTGATGCGTGTGTGGTGTGTGTGTCTGTGTGTGTGTCTGTGTGTGTGGTATGTGTGTGTGGTGTGTGTGTGGTGTGTGTGGTGTTTGTGTGGTGTGTGTGTGATGTGTGTGTGGTGTGTGTGTGGTGTGTGTGTGTGTGGTGTGTGTGTGTGGTGTGTGTGTGGTGTGTGTGTGGTGTGTATGTGTGTGATGCATGTGTGGTGTGTGTGTCTGTGTGTGTGTCTGTGTGTGTGGTGTGTGTGGTATGTGTGTGTGGTGTGTGTGTGGTGTGTGTGGTGTGTGTGTGTCTGTGTGTGTCTGTGTGTGTGTGGTGTGTGTGGTATGTGTGTGTGGTGTGTGTGTGTGGTGTGTGTGGTGTGTGTGTGTGTGTGTGTGTGTGTGTGTGTGTGTGTGTGTGTGTGTGTGTGTGTGTGTGTGTGTGTGTGTGTGTGTGTGTGTGCACACGTTTCCTATACTTCAACTTTGAACTAAGACAAGTCTTTTTTGAGAGGCGATTCCTGTGCGCAATAAAAACTACTGTAACCAACAATTCAATGGCTATACAACAGGTACTTTTGCATAACTAAGTCTATCATAAGAAAGGTCTTCTTAGTTGGCACAGGGGGGTGAGTGAGCATGGGGATTCCGAATACAATATTAGTTTTTAAAATCGTGCAGGTGGTCAGCATGCTCGATCACCCCCCTGTGCCAAACCCCAGCCCCGTAGCTCAAACTTTGCAAAAAAAATCGATAAAATCGATAAAAGTAATGCACGATTTCAAAAACTAATATTGTATTCGTAATCAGCATGCTCGATTACCCCCCTGTGCCAAATCCCAGCCCCCTAGCTCAAATTTTGCAAAAAATCGATAAAATCGATATCGATCGATGACGAAAAGTAGCCCATGACACCCGCCGGGGCCCGAAGTGTATGTGTGCCAAGTTTGATTCGGATGGTTAAGAAATGGAATTTTCTATTCGGAACATACGGCGGAGCCGGGTATGCCAGCTATTAAGCCATATTATTTGAAGCTAAAATTTTTTGTATAGAATATTGTATAGTGTTGTTTTGCCAACCAGGTTTTGTGGTAAATCTCTATTGTGACCTTACTTTTCGACAAATGCCGTCTCCTTCGGAGGTCTGAGAAGGGATTGCGGTTATGTTATTCAATGGTCTACACTAGCAAACGCCTCATCAGGCTTCCGTCGTTTAAACCTTGT